TAATTATAGAAATGTTAAGATATGGATATGGCAGACAGCTAATGGACTAAATGTAAGACTTGTTTAATATGTTTTTGAAATCTGTATTACTGTCTGACCGTTGAAAGATTATTGATGTTGTACAAAGAACCAGGTAGCAAATGCAAAAATTGCAGGAAGATTGATAAGGGGAGTTAATTGGAAATGAATGAAAGGGGAAGATAAATGCAATTTGGGAAGTCCAGTTAGGATTTATGTCAAGCAGATCTGCTGACCATTTATTTAGTTTTCAAAGCTCATTGAAAAATTTGTTGAATGCACATTTTTTTGAATTAGGGGAATTGTGATTATGTAAGAAATAATGTGACACCTAAAATGAATAGTCTTAAGATGTGGTCAGAGAAAGTCCCAAAAAAGTTTGGTTAGATGTAGTTGATAACATCCTCAAAAAGATGGAGATAAGAGTTTAAAGAACAAAAAAGTAGTATATGAAGTATTAGCTGGGGATGATAGAAGCAAGCATGATTGATGACGACAACCAGTATAGAAGCTGCACTATAATGAATAGTCTTGGTCTACATTACATTTATATATCTTTCCTTTTTCTTACAAAGCTTTTATTCTTTATTTGTTTTGCTATTTCTTACTTTTTTTCTTCATTATGCACAATGCAGCTTACCATGAAAAAGGTGTGGAACAATAGTATTCATATGTACATATACAAAAAAATTTTTTTTTAGTTTTAGATTATTTAGTGGTCTCTTGGAAGAATCCAAGATATCCCGTGATTCTGAGTATTTCCCAGACTAAAAGAAGAAGGAGAGGATGTTCCAAAAACCAAGTACTCTATTTAGTTCCTACAGAAACATCTACAATTCTTGACTTACATATATTGCAGTTCCAACTTGGGGGGAGGGGAATGGATGAAGGTATGGAGCCCCTTCTCTTGGTAATATGTTGGTAGAATTCAGAAATCTTCCACACTTCTGACATACCCAATTAATGGTGAAATTGTGCCAGCTCTCAACACCACCGCCAATGGCAGTGGTTATATACATTGCAAGTTTTTTAAAGTGATTACCTACGGTAAATTTTGCAGTGGTAAAAGTTTGACTCCCTCAGAAATTGAGCACTTTCTACAATATAAAGACTGATTAGAAAGTTAGATTGTTTTGCCATTGCATTTTTGAAGCAAACAAGAAAAAAAATGCACCACAACTTTAACATTGATAAAAGATCATATTTTTGTGCATCCAATCAGGAAAAATAAGTTATCAATTATAACAATTCTCATATACATGACATATACCTACAATTCCCAAAGATCTTCCTCAGCTTCCAGGAACAGCTTCTAGTAATGGTTAGGCTTCTGTGAAAGGAGGCTTGTAGACCTGATAACAAGATCGTCCTGCCAGTGAGGAATCTAGAAATTATGTGTACTATATATGTGTGTATATGTGTGTACAGTAAATGTGTGTGCATGCATATTATTTATTTATTTATTTATTTATTTATTTATTTATTTATTTATTTATTTATTTATTTATTTATTTATTTATTGGTGTGTGTGTGTGTGTCTAAGTACCTCTCTGTGTGTATTATGAGACAATCTCATAATCATGTTGCAGCACATGCAATATTGAAAGCTATGAGGTT